TGTTAACACAGTGATGACAGGATGTCAATACACGGTGATAACACAGTGATGACAGGGTGTCAATACACAGTGATAACACAGTGATGACAGAGTGTCAATACACGGTGTTAACACAGTGATGACAGAGTGTCAATACACGGTGTTAACACAGTGATGACAGGATGTCAATACACGATGTTGACAAATGTTGAAAAATAAAATAATTAGCTTGTTTTCAATCCCATGTATGGCTAGTACATTATAGGATTTTTTTATTGGATTAGAATATATTAATCAATCTAATTATGAAAAAGCATTGACCTTGGCCATTTGAAGAAACACATAATGTTAAAAAAAAACAGATGATGGCAGGGAACCGTTGCAGCACCGTTTACTCACCTGAATGGTTTGCTTCGCTAGTTCCAGTTGTTCCGGCTCTTGTAGTGACTATTGCAATTACAGTAATTGCTGCCAATAGAAAAATAATGATCACTGCAGCAACAGCGATAAAAGCTGCCGATGTGTTCTGACAGCAAATACGTACCTACAAGTAGTAAGAGTACTTTAGAACAAATTACAAATCAACAGTAAATACATGGTTAACCAATGTAGTACGGAAACATATATACGTAAGACTAATTATCTTGAGTAAAATAGAAGCAAGTGTTTGTTTGTTTGTTGTTTGTTTTTAGAAGGGCATTGAATTATATGCCTTGGATGTCACACCTGTGATTTGCAACTTAAAAGGGAAAAAATAAATTCAATGAATAAATTTATTGGTTTGATGGACGTCACTCTATTTTGAGATTTTTGCGTGGTAAAGATACAGAAATCCACGTGTGTAAAACAATAGCAGAAAACAAATAATAGCTCTTCTTCCGGCAGCAACTCACACACAGGAGCTCTTATTCCCAGAGTTCCACAGGGCGGGGTGGAGTAATGCAGCTTGTCAGGGCGAAAGCTCTGAAATACAAGACTACATGTAATGATACCAGTCAAAACACAAGGCTAGTTCCCTACAAGTGGAGTAAACACATAACATCAAATATTACAGACTCTTCACACATCCAACACAGTGAATGGGATACTTGCCAGAATATTCAAATGCGTTACAAATATTTATTAAAACATCCGCCCTGCTAAAATCAACAGAAATGCCGGACGGATCCAACAATATGCAATCAACGCACTGACAAATTCACAATGGAAAACTAAAGTCATGAACAAGCAGTACCGGCTAAAAAGAGTCTTTAGTACAGCTAACGATTGTTCAGTAATAACCGTGTTGATACAATAAATAAAACATGTCCCTGTGTACTCGCAACTGCGTGAAACTGTAAATATGTCTTTTATGGGTCAGAGGTCATCTATAAATAACTGAAACCACGTGTGTGGATAGAAAGTCGACACGTAAAATAAATACATAGATTCTCAACATCAACGAAACATAAATGTTTATAAAACTCACGATCGCTGTCACTCGCGAATATTTCAATCGAAAATACAGTTTCTGTTCACAAAACCTAAATCAAACGATGACGCAATGTCACTCAAAACGCCTCGTAAACAGCAATGACTATAAAATAAACTCGGTACGTAACAGCGTTTCCATCCACAACTTAACTATGAAAAAATTCCCTAAAATAGCTAATTATGTGGGCTAATCCCTGATCGATTGCTTCGAGAAAGGGCTCTCTTACATCCAGTCAAAACGTGTTCGCAGCGAACGACTGAGAAAAACAATGTCGCGGGAATTTATTCGCGCACATCCGAAACAACAAAAACACAGCCAGGTTCACTTCAAAACACTTTTAACTCACTCGTATCTCTCTCATACGGGTCAGGGGTCTCACCTAAATAATTCCGAGTCCGGTGAATAGCCTTTATCTCGTCGCCGGCGTCTCTGAACTCCGTGCAAACTGGCGGTAGTACTTCTGATCCCGGTCTTCGTGTCTGTTTGTCTGTTTGTTTGTCTTTGAACCGCTATCTTCGTCCTGTCTCCTCTCGCTCCTCTTGCTCTCAGATTTCCTTGCTTCACTCACTTAGTTTCACACCAAGTGCCGTAACAGATTTACTCCGACGGTACCGTCCACCAGCTATCTCGGGCAGGAAAATCACCGTCGAGTAGAAAGTTACGTTCACCAACTTGAACGCGTCTACGGTCTTACCGTATTTATTTTTCGACGTCTTCTGAACCAACCCGAACTTGGTCTCGTAACGGTTACGTCATCATATAAGAACACGCCGGGTGATCGTTACATAAACACCGCGGTTATTGTAATAGTTTGTCTGGTGGGCGTTTGTAGACGGTATAAAGATTCACTTCAATGTAGTCCAACCTATAAACTCACAACATCACCAAGTATCAGCTGTAATAATTAGCGGTGCACTAAGGGGACTCTCAAAGTTGTTTCCATGGCAATACACTTTGATACGGTTCCTCGCCGTCGTTGTCCATAATGTGTCGCTGTGCCTCCCTACTCATGTGGCAACTCAACGATCGTGGTTAAATAAAAATCCCCTGTACACAATCACGTCAGAAACAAACGTCCCTATCTCGACGCAATCTCAAAAAACAGTGCTAATTATAAAAACTTGTTTCCATTGACAACTGTCACGTGTAACAATAGTAAATTGAATAATTTCAAAAAAAATATTAATATTATTAACTCTATACTTCCTAAATCAAAACATCAATTTGTACACTGATATACAAAAACAGTTATCGTACTGTCATTCAAATTTGTTTTCTAATATAGCATCCAGTCTTAAAAATGACATTTTTATTGAAAATCGTTTTGATAAACTTATATTTTCGCACTGAATGTGCTAATTATACTCAACATCGCAACACCATAAGGTATGTGTTTCATTAAAGCGGGGGGGGGAGTCGTCACCTGCGCGTGCGTCAGATGGCCATAGCGCGTCATTGTTTACAAACAAGCGTTTACCCTTTGCGTTTTAGCGTGTGTCGTATCGTCGCCTGGGACTCAATTCCCGCGCGTGCGCATGTGACGACCCTCCCGCTTTAATCATTAACACTCTGTGAAACATTGTCACTAACAAGAAGTTGTTTTTTTCTAGTTTCTAAGTTCAAAAACACACATATACTGACTAGTTCACAATGAATGCTATTATTTACACATCAACTTACCAAATATTTTGTTCGGTGTTTTATCCTATCCCATCTGTTGAAAAATAACACCATTACATTGCATTTGTCACTTAAGCACACAACTGTTCTGTACAGTGAGTATTTTAAGCATACCCTCGGATGAAATTGGTATATCAAAAAAAAAAGAAAAAGAAAAACTACCACAGAGGCGAGTGTACCGCTGGATTTTGACCCATAATCCCATATATCTCGCTATCACTCGTGTCGCCATGATCTCGTGGTGTTCTTTCCCATTGTGGTTATCAGAATATATATACATTTCCACTGTTTATTTTTTTTTAATTCTGTGGTTGACGAGGACAATTATAGAATCTGAATAAGATTTGAATGATAGTTGACTAGCAACAAAAGTGTGACTGTCACGTTGCAATAAATTGAAATGACGAAACGTTGGTATCCAACATTCTAACATCTGGTTGTCAGTCTAGTAAACCACAAAAAACAGTAAGGGTGAAATAGTATTGTATATTATCAATATTCCATTGACGTGGCTGTCAGTTAAAAGACGGTAGTCGTTGCATCGCGTCCCGGTCAATATGGGACTCATAGCGACGTATACAACGCGTGTAAAATACATTGTTTATGTACATGAAATTCCAACACGCGCTGCGCGACGACTACCGCGCTTTAAGGCTTTCAGCAATCTATGCGTTAAAAGACCTTAAGTAAATTGCTACAAACATGTTTTGCCACAGTTCCTTCTCTGAATGATGATCAAGCCGAATTTCATTCTGTTTTTTTCTTTCCTGAAAACCCTCTTATAAATATGAATCATATATATTTACAGTGTATCTCTTTGCCGTTTTTTGGTAAAAAATAGAATTTTTGGCACTGGTTGGCTTAGTTAGGTAGTTACAATTGGCGTAACCTAGCAACTAGTGGAGATAACGTTTTTCTTCCAAATGTATCTAAAGTTTGACTGTCGTTACAGGTATTTTGTTTTCTAAAATACTCTCCCAACGAATGTTTTTCACACAGAGAATATCTAGCGATAGGAATCGATACGGAGTAGCTCGAATCAACGGATTACTTAGCAGTGGAAACCAGCGTACAATTGGCCATGATTTCAAACATATGGTATTAGGTTTTATTATTCTTTTCATCTGAATATGTATCTACTTCCGTTTTTTGCATGTCGTTTTTCAGTGCTCCATATCTACAATATCCTACATTAACTATCTGGGCTACTTAATCACGCATAGCCAATTTGTTTCAGTCATTTTTATATATTTGTAATAAACTCAACGCACCACCCTTCACTGAGGGATGACATGACTCGTACAAAGACTCAACTTTGTCTCGACTATTATTGCGCGCAGTCCGTCCTTTTGTTTGTATTTTTCCTAAACAACATGTGTTTATAGTAACCTGCTCGTGATCCAGTGAAAAGGGTTAGTTAGTAGTAAACGTATTTAAAATGGCTGTTATAGAATGCCAATTCAGACATAAGCCGTTTCCGGGATAAAAATTGTGGTATCGTAAATCAGCATTTTAGTTTATAAACCATCATTCGAGAGAAGTTATATTAACATTTGAAACATTTTCGCAAAAATTATATGAAGGCGAACAGAAAAAAAAAAGATAAAAAACCGAGCCATTTATTTGATTGTCAAGCAAGCCGGGCATATTTAGCTAACAGGCGTAACATATCGCATGTATGCAGATGTTCGATTATGTTACTGAATGTCTACTCACATACTTTCTTGATTACCCCCAGCCATGTCTTCAACGGTCAACTCCGTCTAATCAGTTCACATACAAATTCCTCACACACAAAATCGTGTATTCAGCAACGCGGTAAAATTGACTGCCAGCATGTAAATCGCTATCACTTTCAGATAACCAACTCCCACACAATAAAAATAAATACATAAACACCCCACCGCTTAAGATCACCTAACAAAATGCATATCTTCCGTGTTCAGTAGATAACTGTAAACGCATTATACATTTTGTTACATTTCATATACATTTCCTATTTACACAGTATAGTGACAGTATATTTGAAATGTTGTTAATTTCAATTAAATTATAATAAACAGAAAGGTTTTCCATATACCTGATTAGCTATATTAGGTACAGTATAGGTTCCTGGTATGAGATTAAGAGACCAGTTTTACTGAAAACCTTAAATATAATCATTGAATAACAAATACATGTATTGCGTTAAACAATATATGCATAATGCTCACAGTAATCGCGTAACAATAATTTTACTGAGATCGATACATCTTAGGTGTTTTCATCTATTTCTTAGATAAAAAAAATAACGTCGCCAATAGTATGATAGCTATGCTAGAAATAGATAAATCCAAGATAATCCGTTTCTGTTTGCTATCGTATTAATATCACAAATACGATGCATTATACTGTATTTACATATATTATTTGGTCCAATAAATATGTCGGTTAAATCGTTTAGCTACATTTTCTTTGTGCCTGTAGATAATACTCTTTGATGATATTGGTTTGTCAACACGTCTCATTATCGTCTCATTATCGTCTCATTATCGTCTCGTTGTATTCTGTGAGATTATTTCACAACCACCTTCTCCATCATTACCAGACAATATTTACATATATTATTTTGAATTCTCATTAATATGAGGTTATTACGAGGATACCTCAATATATGCACGAAGGCAGTGGAGCGGGAGTATCGACCGACGCGCAGCGGAGGTCGATGGACGGTTTACTGTCTGAGTGCATATTTTGAGGGATTCTCGTAATAACCTTATTATTATACATCTTTTTCTTCCAATGATACATTATTCTAATGCCGAAATCCAAAAGGCTTAGAACAGAATCAACGAATTTCTTTGTGTAGAGTCCGGCGGTCAAACCCTGGTGGCAGCCATATTTGTTTTTATTATTAGAGGACGCTTACGCGCGTAATCATTCCATATTTGGAATTCGCATTTATTAATATGGTAGGATGACAATAGCCCGTAAAAATACCGCCAAGTTACGGCACGATACAATGTGTGGCGTTACAGTGAATAATAGTATAGTTTATCACACCATACTGCAATCTAATTCAAAACTCATGTCAGGTTCAGTAGGTATTGTTATTTATGACTATGTTTTGGTTTCACTTGTTGTTATTGAGTTGTTGTTATATCGTAACACGGTTGTCCTGCCTACCATCTGACTCAATACTTATTGGAAAACTCGTGCATGGGAGTCTCGTGTCGACTAGTTGTTCCAACCAATCACAGGACGCCTTACAAAATAAGTCGTCCAACTACTAGTAGCGCATGCGTGATTCATCGTAGTTAAAGAAAGCAAATTATGGTTTTAGATTGCTGTAAAATTGATTAGAGATGGTGATTTGGACATGAGTTTCGCCATTTGTGTGCTAGATTTATTAGTAATTATGACCAGAGAACGGAATTCATTCGAGCGGTTAGGGCGTGCCAGACAAGGCGCCGATACATTGTACTGACATGTGCGGATTTATGGGAAGCGCGCCAGGCGCCGAGTTTTCTTGATATCGGTGTCACCGTGTCATCCGGGTACTTGCCGATGTATGGACGTATTAGCACATATGTGACCCAATATTAATTATAACCAAGGAGGTTATGCTTTTATCTTCATTACGTAATTACTACAACTAATAACGATAGTTTAATTAAGTTAAGCTTCCAATTTGGAAAATTTTAATAAAAAAGCTAATTTTAAAATGTGCGATTATGATGAACAAATAAATCGTTGAACGATGAATCTAATTGTAAAACCTGTGTTTATCCAAATTCAATCTATTCGTTATGTACATTGTATATTTCTTTCAGGTATGTGAACGATTGTCCCAAAGTAACGGTAATTACCGTATGCATATGGATACCTTGAGGTAGATTATCCACAAAACTATATATATATATATATATATATAAAAAAGAAAATCTAATCTTAGCTAATCAGATTTCGAGTTTAAATTTTCTAATCAGTCTCTTAATTAATAATATAATCAAAATAAATGAACTTCAAAAATAACTATCAATCAAAAAGGTGCGAATAAAGAACAAAACACATAAATACATGAACAGTGTCGATAGTTCGTTATTAATGTTGACAGGTCCCAGCTTACTGACAGTTAGACGATGAAGGTTCCAGAAACTTAATACCGTTGGGGGCGCTGTTCAACAAAATGTGGGTTGGTTGGTTGGTTCCAGCCTCAAGTGTCATGGCGCACCAAACCACAAAAGGCCGGTTACTAGTAATGGGTCAAGCATTCTGATTGGTTGATCACGTTCTTATTCTGTGTTCTATTTTGCTTGGTTACCTGACGTCAGTGCTTACACCCGTGGTACTTATATATATATATATATATATAAAGCAATGTTTTCCTTTTGATTTCACAGATATAAAACCGTTTCTTTCGTTATCACATTTTTCGGGAATTGTGGATATTATTCAAAGTTGGTTTGAATATTATAGATGGCCGTTTTGATTGAACTTGTAGAACATACAGATGAACTAAATAATCGTTCCTTGAAGCCTGACGATCGTGAATTATCAAGTAAATGCCTAAAGATTGGTAACTGATTATATAGACAAGGGTAGAATATTAATCAACATATGAAAAATTGTTATTCACGTGCACTCTCTCAACATGAGCCCACCGATCCTTCTAGTCTCTAGTATTTCGTTTTCATGATGTTGTTTCTACATCCCTGAGTCATGCGCCGGATTTAAGGGGAGCCCCCTTTCTGGCAGAAAATAACAGATCATTTGACAAACCCACGCCACGTCATAAGAAGATCCAATAACAGTAGGTACCCGGTATCAAACAACCAACAACACACCTGCTCTTCTGGGGGGTTTCTCTATGTTTGTCTATTTCGGTGCAAGGTCAGATAGGTTATCTGGATAGTAAAGATTGTAGACAAGCGTGGGGATGAATCTTTGTATCATTTTTAGTGTTCATAGTTTTGAAGTCTCTTTCAGTTTCCTGCAAGTTCTCGATTTTCTCTTCTGTCAGTTTTGTCTGTGTGTTGCAATTTCTAAAGTAACTTCTGAAAATGTAAGGTCTGGGGTTAACTGACTGCCTCTAGATGAAGACGTACGTTTACGAATTTCATTGCAATACCAGTTAACTATTGTATATGCACATAGATCCGAATCTGAAAAGAATACGCCTCTACACGATGCTAATCGGGTGCATGAAATGTTGTATGAATTCTACCCCACTCCAAGCGCCGAACACAAATGCCATCCGAGTACCATGTTACGCCCTCTAGTGGTGGCCTGGCGAAACCCATCAACTCGTCAGGAATTGGAAAAACACAATGTGCTATCGCTAGATGAAAAAGATTTAATTACTTACCGCATGAGGGCGTGATTTCCCGCGATCAGCTCAGCATATTTGCATTTTATCGTCGCTTGTAGCCAGCATATTTAAAGGGTTGAATATGAAACTATCTTTCTGAACGCATTACATGTCTTCCATGCATATATTTTCAAAGCGGGGGGGG